ACACACACACACACACACACACACACACACACACACACACACAATCCCTGAAACACTGCAGCATTATTCCAATACTCCATAAAAAAAAGAGACAAGTTAAAGATGATATACGTCTGACTTTAGAGCAAAGATGAATGGATAATTCTCTGTATAATTTTTCCTGCCCTCCCTCCATCCCTTCATCCCTCCTGTCTTGTTGCATCACTTTGTTGCTCCATATATTTGCCCCCTCCTCTTTCGTCCCACTTGCTCTCGTCATAAAAAGGAGAAAAATACAACAGAAGGAAATGAGATGCTGCTCGTTTGATCCCCTGCAGCTTGAAAAAAAAATGGTGCAGAGAGGGAAATGTGCCAGTGTGTGTGTGTGTGTGTGTGTGTGTGTGTGTGTGTGTGTGTTCACATCTCTCCAAAACACAAATACATACACCCAGCCACAGATCCTGCTAACCTAAGTGGCAGTGCAGTAATTTAAAAATCGAATGCTCATGTATAATTAGATCCACATTCACTCCCTCAGTAAATCGAGTCACATGAGAGCTGCAGATTCCGTTACAGTGACACATCTGAGGTGGTTCACTGCTGCTGAGATGAATGGATCCACTCGTCACTGTGCCCTGGTGGATGAGGGGATGTGAAACAGATACGTGGCAGCGTGCCGAGACAGGAACAGCAGGGGTACGACAACAAGAAGGCCGCTTGAAATCCGTCTTAACAAAGAAAGAAAACAGACATGTTTGGGCTGTATGAGCAAAACATATGAGAATATATATATATAAACAACTCTGGCAGTATGAAAAGCTTACAAATGACACAGAGACGTTAAAGTTAGAAATCAAACTCACACAACTAAACTGTGCAGTTGTTCAACATCTCATTGTTGCAGCATAATTAGAGTTTTGAGGATTATAAATGATAAGTCAGAAATTAAAAAAGATGCATTAGCAGTACTGTGGGAGGACACAGAGGGAGGAGGACAGGGGAGGCTTTCAGGAGACTTATACTCTTTAAATGTAACTGGAGATGAAGACATCATTTGTGCAAATATACAAACTCTCTCAGAGTGTTTGCTGCAGATTGTTTCCTAAATTAGCTCAACTTAATATTCGCTGTGAGTTCCTTGAAAACATGGACGCATAAAGACTTCTGTCCCTTCTCCCCTCCAGGGTTCTGTCCCTGCTTCCAGCACAACTCGATGCTCCAGTCGAACAATACTTTTAGTTTTGAGAGAAATGTTTGGACAACTATTAATGAAGTGCCATAGAATTCTTCTACAGACACTCAGGTGCCTGATGAATGAATCACCACTGATAATAAAATATTATGTTAATAATTTCAGTTCCTCTGACATTATACACTTTGCTCTGTGGGATTGTAAAAAGCCATCAGCGATCTCTTCCTCCTCTTCCTCCTTTGCAGGGTCACTTTATGACTGCACCCTGCAGCCTGCACAGCTCTCCTCGCTGCTGGTTCCCCTGGAGACCTGTAGTTTTTAATGTGTTGATAGCGTCACATCAAATCTTACTCTGCCCTTGCACTTTCAGGCTGATCCCACTAAGGTGGAAACGGTGCAGGACGTGCTGGCAAGGGCAGCAGCGAAGGGCCTCCTGGGTGGAATATTACCAGAGCAATTAAAAACTGGGAAGAAGGGGAAAAGCAGGAAGAACCGTGAATCCCCCTCTGGCCAGGAGAGGCAGGAAGGGAGCGAGCGAGATCCACTCGCACCTTCAGAGCCTGAACAGGAGAAAGGTGAGGGGGGGTTCAAGGGTAATGAGGAGGAAGAGGAGGGCAAAAGGGAGGAAGATGAAGGAAAGAGGAGAGGGGTCAAAGGGCGTAAGCGAAAGCTCAAAAAAGGAAAAAAACAAAGCAACAGGGCTCCTGCAGACGACAAGCAGCAGCCTAAAAAGAAACCAACGAAGAAAAAAGGCAAAGAATCACATCACGCTAAACGTCCGACAAAAAGCAAACAAAGACGAATACCTCGTCTCACGCTGACGTTGATGTCCTCAGAGAAAACATCCAACCAGTTGTCCCCCATGACAGCCCTGGCACACAGGCTGAGTGAGAATCCGGGGATCAGGTCTCAACAGACGGTGTCCAGCGCCCCTTCCTCTGCTGGGAAACACCCCTCACCTGCTCCAACAGCTCCATCCACTGCACCTGCGGCCTCCAGGCAGCTGCAGGGACAGAACACGCAGCCTGAGAGGGAAGAGAAAACATTCAAGGTTGGAGACAAATCAGCGGGTCTGTTAAAGGCCTGGGGGAAAGTGGACGCACCACAGGAAGTGATGAAGGCTGCTAGAGGCTCTGTCCTTCCACCCATTCCATCCCCTTCCTCTGGATCTCTACGCAGCAGGACTGGTAGTTCTCTGTCCCACACGTCCCACTCTCACCCCAACAACATGTCCACGTCCTCCTCCTCAGTCTCTCTGCCTGGATTGTAGAGACGAGGACATTAGACCCACTGACGATGACGCTTCAGTCACTGGGATCAGACAGAAAAACTATTCCCATCCATCCATTATCTTTACCACTTCTCCTTTGAGAGTCACAGGAGGCTGGAGACAATCAATACATAGTTAAATCACTTCCCAAGTAAATTACATTCATGAATTATTAAATATAAACAGTAAATTAATAATCAAAGACATTTATTAATTTATTTGAATTAAATTATTGTTATTGTGTTTAATTCTTGTAGGAAAATGTCTTTAAGAGATGCACAAAGAAAATATAACCTGTTTGCACATTATTAATTTAACCAAATTAATATAATGATAGAATAAATCTTTTTTTTTTCTGTGCAGCTTTTTGACTTTAAACCTCCATCATTTCTCCAAGTGAAGTTCTCCCTGAACTAATCATAACTCGTGTTCTGAGATATTTAACTGAACCAGACTGCTTTGTTCTTGGAATGTTTGAATGTCTTGTTTGTTTGGTGTAACTGAGGCAGGTATCTGGGTAACAGACGTTTGAGTTTTCCTTTTAACCACAGGTTTATTGTTATATCCAAAGTACAGACGCATTTTTATTTGGACTCAATTATACAAAATCATAAATATCAGTCAAGACTCATGAAATATAAGCAGTGTATGAATTATTATTGTGAAATTGTAAAATAAAACCATGTAAAAGAATGTGAAAAAACAAATCCACCTTCTGGATCTGCAGCGAAATATAATGCTTCTCTCTTCATGTTTCTTCCACCAAGTTCCATGGAAATCCATTACACAGTTTTAAAACCTGCTGACAGACAAACAAACAAACAAGTGGTGAAAACACAACCTCCCTGGCGGAGATAATAAACCAAACTTTATCGATCAAGAATGATGAATCAGTAAAAATGTCATTACTCACAGAAACACAAAAGCCAAGCAGTGTATTTTATAATGCTGTTTATTCTCACAATTGGTTACATTGATAAAGTGTAGAAATCAGTGAGCGGCAAACAGAAGCCAACACACCCATCTGTGGGAAATGGAGTGTGTGTTCGTTGTTGTTCTTTATGTGTGTGAGCTTGACAGAGATGCTGGGTGCCCAATGCTGTTTCCATCATCTTCCTCCTCCTCCTCTTCCTCGTCCTTCTCAGAGCAGCAGTGGACGTCCAGCTCTCAGGACACTGTACAGGGTGAAGATATATTCCTTTATCTGCCTCGTTCTGCAAAGCGGAGCCTATTGTAGCATTGTGAGTTTAACCAGGGACAGAGACAACGACAATGAGTCAAGAGACTTTACTTTGCCCCAACTAATAAAATCAGTATATACCTTTATAAAATAGAATAAATAAAATAAAAAATATTTCTGTTCAGTACGTACAGTCGCTCTCTCAAACTGTCCGAGGGCATGCAAGGCTTTTCTTTTGTTTTACGACTTTCCATTTTCTTCTCGAGATCAAAAGAATGCATAGATAATTGCTCAGTTAAATTCAGTATCAACTTAATTGACAACTGTGAACGCCCCTCCTGTTATTTCATTATTTGCTCTGGTACTTTACTTATCTACAACAATGTATATCTGTATTTTACACTTTGGCCATTTGGTGAGTTCTCAAAAAAAAAGGCATTTCATTAAAAAAAATAAAATAATGAGACATTCAAAAATGAAAAAAAAAGAAAAAAGATAGCTTATGACAATGATTAATGCCAAATGTTACATTATATGGATATTATGTACACAACAATTTAAGTCATCTCATTCACATTTCAACATCCCCGTGATGAAAGAAAAGGGAGTTTTCTCAACAGAATCTCAAATATACTTAGACTTCCTTCCTCTGTTTGTTATATGTGGAGTTAAATATTGACACGAATGACAAGCAGGACCCTCGGCTGGAACATCTGACCATTAACTTCGACCTGACGCTGTCAAAGTTCCCTTTCTCTGCAGCAACACTCTACTCTGTCAGAAACCATCACTTTGGCTCCTAATGCAGTTGGTTTCTCTAAAAAACTGCTAACATACGCCATGATTTAACAACATACTGGGCTGAAGGTGTTTTCAGAATCCCCCATAGACTCGAACAAAAACATTGTCCATCTGCTGAAAGATAAATAAGATATTAATCTATTTCCTACCAGTCCAGTTTGCTCCTCCTCCACGATACTTGGTGGAAGGAGGGAGTCAGAAGAGGTTGTGGATGCAGGAATCTTTTTCTCTTTGTTTAACATTGCATCTTTTGAAACTCTGATTTCTCTCTGAAACTGATTTCTCTGGGCGTAATGCATGGATCCTGATGACAAAAAACTTAGGGGACTGATATCTATGAGTGTGTGCATTTTAGTGCAGATCAAAACAAAAATCTGGATCTCGCAAATTATAACAGGGTTTCATAAAGCGACTGTCGGGCCTCGACGGAGGAATGAGCCCTGATGAGAGCAATACTTGTATTGATTTGTAAAAAGATATTTTATCATACAGCAGACAGAAGATTTTTTTCATCCAGATGTTTGAAGATGTCTTTGGGGATTTTTACAACCCCTTGTCTTTGGGCACTACTACAGTCAGAATTACCTGTGAGCCGGCCATACTGTTTGACATTTACATCAAATAATATACTCACAGGTTTATTCCATTCCTGACAAATTAAACTTCTGATTTTCATTTTGGAAAAGGCCACAAAACAGACTCTAACTTCTGCCCCGTCTGTTTTCTACAAGTGGACAAATGTAAAGTTTGACAGGTGGGATTTAACAGTCAGATGTTCAGCATGTATCTGCCTCTACAGCCAAGAGAACTTTGTTAAGTGTCGATGATCTTAGTTACAATAACGATCATCACTAGTTATAACACCCAGCTTTGTGATTTGTGTGAGACAAAAACCAAGCATGTGATCTTGTGGCACTTATGAAACAAAGAAAAAAGGAAAGAATGCGCATTCAAGTGAACAGAACCCTGGAGACAGATCGATAGCAGCCCAGGAGCGTCCTGCTGGTTTGAGTCAACATGTCTCTCTGTCGTCTTCTGGAGATAAAAATCTCACCTCCTCACAGTTCAGACAATATCATCACAACCATACCCAGGTATAAAGACACATTCCTCAAGTCTCCTTCTGTTTTCTTCCTCAGGGCGTTCACATGCTACCAGTCCCCTTTTATTAGTCAACTTGAATTCTGTGAGGACTGATACTGAGGTGGGATTTAAAGTCAAATTTCCTCCAGTATGTGTATCATGGAGCAGCAGCAGCACGCTGACGTCTCCTCCGCTCCGAGCTGCAGTCTGGCACTGAGAGTGGGGTGGGGGGGGGGCAGAGGAGAGAGAGTGGGCCGAGAAATAATGTTCATCCCTGTGCCTTATCCTCCATTATGGCTATCATCTGTCATTTTCTGAGGGATAACAGAAGAATACCAGTAAACAGATGGCAGACGTGCGGTGTGTTTTCGGGTGAAAGGTCACCGCTCGTTCAGACGCACTGGGCTGATTCGTGCACAGTCGATGAGAAAAGAAAAAGAGAAGAGAAGACGGGATAGAAAAACAAGGTGGCTTCTGATTCCTCACCCCTTCACTCTCTGAAAGCAGCAGCAGTGTTGATATCGACTAGAATGATTCACGTTTCTATAAAAAAGTTCATGCAGGATCCGTTGAACAGATGAGTGTAGACTAACGGACAAATCGCTTTAGTCTGTAGCAGCTCCCTTCATTGTTCACAGACACGATGGCTTTTCATTTTGCCTCCCGACCATTTACTTACTCTCACTTTACAGTTTGCTGTAGATGGTAAGGAAGAGGGACAAAGATGGGGGGGAGGTAAAGCCACTACAGACAGGAAGCCAGGTGAATGACGAGGGAAGGGTATGGCCAGGTGTGCAAGGTCATGCTGGCATCACAGGCACAGACACAGATACAATAAGAGCATGGAGGAGTCAGCAGTTTGGGCAGCGATGAGCTCGCTCATCACGCTGTGCTGTGCTTGAAGGAGCACTTCCTACTTCTACGATATTGTTCTCCTCGCTCCTTCTCTGTGCCGAGGGGGACGAGAGTTACTTCTATGTACATCAACACCTTCACGACCACCGCTCTCGTGGTTGTTCCTTCTCAGCCAGGGTTTAGAGTCTTCAGGAGGCCAACTTGAATTGCGCCTCGAGAGGTGATGAAACTCTTGAGGTGAAACTCCAATTTGCTCCAGAAAAGTGAAGGAATCATGACGGGGTTTCCCCAAATCCCTGGGGTCTTTGCTCTGTTTTAGTGGTTACTGGGGTTTTGGCAGCGAATGCGACTGGTTACCATGGTGACTGGGGGTTGTGGCAGGCAGTTGGTAGTGATTCACCGTGGTTACTGCGGCAACTCTGTGACGGGTCTCTTCTGTTTGAGGGTGTCGATGAGAGATAGGACCCCTCTCTTCACGCTGGTCGAGACCCGACGGGACACTGAGTCACCGGGGGGGGATGAGCCACAGGCTTTCTGGGAGGGAGGCCGAGCGACCAAACACTTCTGGTACCGCAACTGAGAGAGAGAGAGAGAGAGAGAGAGAGAGAGAGAGAGAGGGAGAGAGGGAGGGGGGAAGGACAGGAGAGAGAGTTACAGCTGCTGAGTATACGACTGTAAAAGTGCGTGTGTGTGTTTGTGTGTGAGTAAGAGAGGAAGAACAGAAAGCTGGACTTGTGCTGTGATCGATAGTAATGACTGATGATTCCTGTCACTGTGAATCAGAGTGTGTGTGTGTGTGTGTGTGTGTGTGTGTGTGTGTGTTCTGATGTGTGATCAATAGTCCAGCCTGCAGCCGACTCATCTTGTGACTCACACACAGCAGAGATGAGGAAGATGATTAACCTCTACTGTTGGTAGCATCTCTGCTTTATAACATGAACTCCAGTGTCTATGCACATGACACATAACATAATATAATAGTTTAACACTGTAAAGGTAACATGCTGATTCTAATAGTCACTTATTTAACGTTCACTGATCTACAGCACTGAACTTTAAACTGCACCATAACTCTGAGGGACGTCCTCAGATATATCTTAACTTTACTTCTCTTGATTTGAATTTTTACAAATTTTTACAAATCGGACCGACAACTAAACTACATGCAAGAACATTCACTCACAGAAAGAGTCTGTGATTCAGTTGATGGCCTGTGTAAATATAGTTTTCAATGTGTAAGATATTATTTATTTGGTAAATTCAATTTCAAATGAAGGAATCCTTTTCATTAGCACGACTGGTTATAATAAACTCATCGATACAAATAATTTGTTTCATGTCTTTTATTTTATGCTTGCATTTTTTGGGTTACATCTGAAAATATTTTTCACCCTGAAAATAGTTTTTTATAGCTCACATCTTTTCCCTTTACATAAAGTCCAACTTGAGTTTGCATTCACTCTAAGTAACAACCCCTGGTCACACAACTGTAGAGTGAGGAGGTTTAGTAGAAAGTGTAGTTTTGTGTGTGGAGTTGTGTTTCCGAGCTTCTTTTCTAGCTCAGTGTCTCACCATACAAGCTGCCTGCACAGCCTCAGACACATTCCCAGCATTAGGGTCACACCAGAAGACGTGACAGTCAAAACGATGGCCGCCTGCGTCCATGATGAAGGCAAACGTGTGCACGTCATACCCAACGCCCATGAAGGACAGGAAACGCACACGACACTCCACCAGCACTTCTTCTTCATCCTGGTCAGACACATTGGTGGGTGAGATGTTGAGTACAGATTTTGTTTAATCAAATGTTCTACTGAAGCATGGAGGAAACCAAAAAAAAAACTTTGAGAGATAAACCCTCAGCCAACATTTACATACATACATTCACACAGTAACCGATGAAAAACTGCAGCCTCCTAATAAACAGGTCCAGTGGAGCAGCAGAGCTTTAAGTGTCTCTCTGTTAAAGCTGAAATGCATAACTTATTTAAATGAGAGGGGGAAAAGGTAATTTTATGTCGTCTGCATGGTCGAGCATTGTTAAGACTTCACATGCAGATTTAACACTGAGCGGAGCTGCTGTTCATTCATTCATTTAGGTGGGAAGCAGCTTAGTAAGTCTCTGGTTGACAATGTCAGTAAAGTTTGTTGAATCCACAGCGCGAGTGAATTCTTTTCCACCATTTTTGTAGTTTAATGCATTGAAAGTAACTGGGATGTTCAAACAAAACAGAAAAAGGTGTTGATGGAAATAATGTTGTTGATGCTGCTGTTTGTCTCCTCATCCAAACCTGCATTACCTCCCTACACAGAAGTAACCATCCATAATCTTCATCGTTCAACTTTTACTAGTTCAGTGGTTTTTAACATTTTGTAGGCCAGTTTATAGGCCATCGAAATAGATGATTCCTCTGTTCTTGTTATCAAACTCTTGACATGACAAAGAAATGTAATCAAGGCTTGATATTTTACAGTTTAGTCATGAACTTTATCATAAATATCTAAACATTAATAAGATAAAAATACAACCAAATGTATGGAACTTGAATTAAGAAAATAGACAATTCTTGATATGAAATATAAACACAAATGCTGATCCTTTCTGCAGTGTTCATTCTGTAAAATAAAGGTTTTCATGTGTGCAAATATAAAAGCACATACAAATATTTCTGTAAAAAGCTCATATCGAGCTATATTAGTATTAGCAGCCGGTTGATATATCAGCTGGGACAGTTCAGTTGTGCCGGTCATATGTTTACATCAGCAAAATGTGTTTGCTACATGGCAGCTGGAGACAATCTCACAATCTCTGTCATCTTTGTTGTTGAACATACATCATTGTAATCAACTTTCTTCACAGAAGAGGACATCAGTCGTACAGGAACTTATAAATCTCAGCTTTGACAAAACTGTGGTTGTTTTCTATAAAGGAAGTTGTATCAAAATTTCCAAATAATAAACCAATTATCTGTTAGTCCAATAGGAAGTTTATGAGTTAATGAAAAAGTGTCTGACCTTGTCTTTGCTGATGGTGACAGTAGCATCTGCCACGTTGAGAGCTACTGGAGTCCAGTCCTCTTTGTTGGAAGAACCAATTAGACTGTCTATGGCTCCATTCAGTATGTCCATACCTGAACCAGAGGATGTGACAAAACATTTTCTTTAAAAACACACACGAAATCAAAAGGTGTGTGTGTGTGTGTGTGTGTGTGTGTGTGTGTGTGTGTGTGTGTGTGTGTGTGTGTGTGTGTCAGACTGACCTATAGGTCTGGCCACAGGCAGCATCCCGAGGTAGAGCACCTGAAACTTCTGAACCAGCTCTGTCTTTGGTGTGGGAAACTCTGCTGGGGAGAAACCACACAAAACACTTAATAAGTGCTTATAAGATTAAATATTCAACTTCATGTGGATAAATAAAAGCAAATACACATTTACAGATATTTAAAAAGCAGCCTGTCAGCTTTTAATAATTCAGCTCCTTGTGTTCATTTCCTTTTGTTCAGGATTATTTCATCGTTTTCATTCTGCCCGATAATGACTGCATCCTATAATGCAACACAAGGGAACGTTTTGAAAAATACTTTAATTTCAAGATAAAGTTGGTAATTACCACATGTTGTCATTTTAAGAAAAGGACACAGCTTTTCTGGACGTGTCCAGAAAGTTAAATGTGTGTATAAATGACAAAGTGCAGCACAGCTGATTATTTTTCTCTCTGACAGACCGACAGAGAGAGAAAACAATGTGTGGTGACACAAATAGCTTGTTACCATGTTTTTCTTCTTTTTTATAAGATAGCTCCCTGTGTAAATATTGCTCTTCTACATTCCTACACTGTCTCCTGAAAGTACACAGAAGTTTGTCTTACTGCCGCCAACACCAACATCCCTAGACTGACTGCATCTTACCGGTTATATAAAAACTTGAGGAATATATTTTATGTCTACTCTGTAATTATGACCATATGACAGACTTTGTCTCTTCTGTAAATTACAAACTGGAACCATGTGGAGTTTTTGAATAATAGTAGATATAATGAGAGTACGGAAAGGTTTTGAATGTATTATGCATGTGCATGTACACAATCCAATGGGCAATGAGTTTACATTGCAGGTCAGCAAGGTCAAGAAAACCTTGTAGAACACCAATAAGGTCAAAAGGGAAATCAGTCACTAACCTAAACAGATTGATGTGAATCTTCTGAAATACGTTTTAATGGCTCCAAACTCATCTACCGTATTATGCCAAATGTAGGATGACACAAATAATATGAAGACCCTGATGTCCAACAACTATTTTGTAAATAAATATTTTTGAGGATGGGAAACACTTTAGAACTCATCCTGTTGGGTATAGTTTCCCTGAGACGCCAAAGTTCCAAGGAGAACCAAGTCATCATCATTGAAACCTTGTGTAGGTTAAAAATGAAATTCAGTTACACATTAAAACCACCGTTATATATCTTTGTACATCAAACACACTCTCTCCTGTCAGGCTCATGTCAAAAACATTTTTGAGCTCATCATGTTGGACAGATTTTCTCCCTGGTTCACTTCTGCAGTAAAGACACTGGGAGATGCTTTAAACTGGTTGTAACACTTTTAAAGGCTGACTGACACTGACAGACTCACTATAAGCAGACTTGAAACACTCACTGGTCTAGTAACATTACAGCTAAAAACAACCCACAATGCAACACTCTCTGTAGAGGGTATGTTACACTTGTACTCTTTTCATGTTTGTCTTCAAAAAATAAGCCAACCACCACTAATTTCTAGAAGAAAAAACATTCTCTATTAATGTTCTTTTCTCTAGTCAGGCAAACAAACAAACAAAAGTTAAGATTCTCTGTGCTTACAAAAAACTGTGTGAATGTGTCCAGAGGGCTACAGAAGCGATAACTGTGTGTCACTTACTCACCCAGTGTGTGGTACTGTATGTAAGAAACCCACCTTGTAGAGGGAGATCTAGTCCTGCCTGCATCCTGTCGTGGAGAGAGTTTCCTGCCATCGCTTTGGCATTCTTTCTCTCTGTCATTATCTGGTGAACAAGAGAGATACAGGAATATGAGGAAACTGTGTAAGAAACAGAGTAGAAATGTTCTGACATGGAAGTGACACGGGGGAGGAGGGGGAGGAGACAGAGACATAAAAAAAATATGTGAGCATGTGGGAGGAAAAAGGATGAAAGAGTCAACAAGAACGGGGAGAGGAAAACCTGGAAGAGCTTCAACCCCGATACTGTCACAATCTCTACACATTCACCTGGAGAGTGTTGGCACACGTGTGCGCACACGCACACACACACACTTAAATCAGGTCACACTCTTCGTTACAAAACAGTGTAAAAGCTTTTCCTGCAGTGTTCGTAACAAGGAGAAGCACATGCATGCAAACGAGAACCATGAAAAAAGGAAAGATCACACACACACACACACAC